GGGGGGGGGGGGAATAGAATAGGAGTGAAAATACTGGCAGTATTTCTGCTGAAGGAAAAACACTTCATTATACCATTTTCAGAGTAATCAAAACATGAAGGAAAGAATATGTTCCTGGTCAACCTTTGGGAGCCACTGAATTATTTGAGGGCAGGGTTGGGGGTGGAAGAGATGGGTAGGTGTGCAAAATGGGCTGCCATAAGAAGGTCTTTGCTGAACCATGCTCTTTCTCTCTCTCTTTACCCTGCTTACAGAGGTTTTTTCTAACCCTGCCTTTCAGTAACCCTTAACAAGGTGCTGCAGAGCAGAAAGTGAGTTAGATGCAGGTTCTTTCAGGAAATTTTGCATTATGTCTTCTCCTCCAGATTACCACAGAAGGCAGAATGACCATTATCATTTCCTCTTCCTGGGTAACAGCTCCATTTTATTTTGTTGTTGTTGAGCATTGCTTAGTCTATTCATTCTCTGTCATTTATCTAAGGAGGAAGCTGCACTTTCCCTCCTCTAAGAATCTCCTAATATTATTATAGCCTAGTGATTGTAAAAATAAATAATAACTTCTACTACTCCTTTTCAGTGGTTTAACTGAGAGTACTTTGGAGTACCAAGTTAAGCATCATTACTCCATTTATATCACTGGGAAATTGGATTACAAAGAGGATGAGTGCCTTGCCTAAAATGTTCCAATTCTTCACTGGAAGAACCAGAAAACAAAACACTGGTCTACTGATTTTTCAGGGCAGTGTCTGGGGGCAAAAAAATAGATTGGATAGGGATTACAAGTTTATTTGCCATGTGACAATTCCATAGTTACCCGGAGCAGCCCCTCAGGATCTGTTGAGGCTTCTCAGGAGTCACTGATATTGAGATGTACTGTGCATTAGTCATTGTACATGGTATTGTTTCTTTAAATGTGGTTAGGCTGTGTGCCTCCTTTGGGCACCATGCTTTACATTCAGTTTTGGGTACTGTTCAGAATAGTGAAGCTGCCAGCCACGTAAACTGTGTGGTGCTCTCTCTGCTAGTCTAATCTCTTCACCAGTGGGACTTGCAAGTTATAACAGACACGTTTGAAGCTGCACGGATAGTTAGTCTTATGTCACAAATTTGACTTAGTCAAGATTTGACTTCATAATTTGAGTGTCCACTTAGACCAAAATCTGCTTCCCTCTCTAATGCTTTTTCTCTATATTGTGTTGACACCAAGAGATGGATTCTTCTGCTACTCCTTTGTCTTGTTTCCATTTGAAAGAGCCTGAAAAAGAAAATTAAAAGAATTCTTTGTGACGTGATTGCAAGATTATTCGAGTCCTTGTGATCTTACTCTTATTTGTATTGGAAACAATGTACTGTGCCTGTTACATAGAGAAATTCTTGTCAGGTTATTTTAGTCAGCTGAGTGTGAAGTGGATTAATGTGTATAAACCCTTGTTATTGTGGTTATCTGGTACCTAGTTTAGGAACTCCATTTATTCTTGACTCAGTGTCTTCTCTACCAGTGTATTGGTTGTAAAACTTGGGTATCACAAGCAGAATAAGGAAGGTAATAATACTTGTGTAAATGGCCTTGATATGGCCATTCTCTGGAGTATACCTGTATAGATTTCAACACCCCATTATGCTAATGACAAAGATAAATGAAAGAATCCAGAGAAGGGCAACAAACATGATAAAGGTATTAAAAGATATGACCTTGATCAGAGGTTAAGGGAATTTAATATGTACAGCCCGGAGAAAAGAATACAAATAGGGAATGTTTTGATAAGGGTCCACAGATATTTGAGAAGTAATTGTATATAGAAAAAAGATAATGATTATTTACAGTGCTTTTGAGGTAGCGTGAAAAGGAATAGCAACTTGGAACTAAAACAGGCACAATGTAGGTAGAACAGGCATGTCTATCTAGAATAGCATGATATGTTTGGACTGACCAGAGATCCTTTACTCTGCCTGCTCTCGTAGAGTGGTAGCATTAGAACGTTGTTGTAGCCATAATGATCTGGGTTATGTGCAAGAAGAAAGAGGTTTTTTGGGGTGATCTTTTTAACATCTCTTCCCAACAATACAGTTAGTCCAATAAAAGATATTGCCAAAAAAAATTTGCACTTGTTCAGTGAAGTCAAGGATGTGTGGACTAGAATTACCGGGCTACCTCTTCTTTTTGCTGGGCTCCTAGCAATCGGGGAGTTTCAGGCCGAAGAGAGAAACAATCCAATCCTTCTGCCTGTGTAAGGAAAGGAACACTGCCTAGTGGTGTCAGACCTGCCCCAGGGTACAAAAGAGGAACAGTTAGGGATAGAGAAATATGCACAGAACAGTATGGTAGCAATCCTAGATGCAGCACCAAGCAACAGCCTATTTGGGGGGAAATATCTTTGGAGAAAAATGTCATTAGCTTTTTAAGGCATGTGTGCACAGCACTTTAAAGCGGGCTAAATGCTTTTGTACCCCTTTAATGGTGTCGGTGTTTGCACACCTCATTGGTGTATTGCGCATTAATTCCAGCTGCTGTAGGAAATTCAGTGGCATAATGCGCCTTAAATGACATGGGGTGCAGCAAATTAAAACTCCTTTGAGGAGTTTTCGTTTGCTTCCCCTACAGCCGCAGAGTGAAGCACCGGGCTCTGTGCTGCTCCATGGCTCTGCAGGAAGCCCTGCAGACAGCCTGGCAGCAGCCTGGGAAAGCAGGCTCTGCCCAGGAAAAGTGGTGAGCCTGATTTCCCGCCCCCTTTCCTCACCCC